CAGGGAAGTTCTCCTCCAACAAATCTTGGACAATTTTCTCAGTGGTTTTATTTTTCTCTTCCTGTTCTGGAATTCCAGTGACACATAGGTTATTCCTTTTGATGGTATTCCATATGTACCTTAGGCATTCTTCATTTTGTTTTGATCTTTTTTCTAATTGATCCCTTTCCAAAGAAGTATTCAGGTATTTGTCTTCAATCTCATTAATTCTGCCTTCCATTGATTTGATTCTACTCCTCTGCTCTTTCAGTGTGTTATCTATTTCTGAAATTTTAGTATTTATCTTCTGGCTATCTATCTGTAGATTTTGTATCATTTCTAATTTTTTCATTTATTTTGTCATTTTGTTCTTGTATTCTTTTGAAATTGTTTTAGGGTTTTCTCTGTATTTTCCTTTGAGTGTCTCTCAATCCACTGAAGGTACTTAAATATAATTCTTTTGAATTCCTTATCAGGGAGTTCCAATTCTGCTTCTTCCTCAGGGATGTGTTCTGGGTCTGTATACTGGTCCTTTGTTTCTCCTGCTTTATCTTGCTTCTTTGTGTGGACTGTGATGGTCTGATGTCTCTAAGACATTATGACATTTTTGTGTTTGTACTTAATTGGTGATTATATGTTGGAGTGACTTTCCCACGATTTTCATTTTCTTTGTTTTGTTTGAATGTTATCTATGTACGCAGGGTACTATGGTCCTCTATTCACTAGTTAGCAGCACTTATACACTCACCACCTGTCTCCTTTCCCTTTGCCAGCCTCCCATATGTCTCTGCTGTCCTTGGCAAATGGAGCCTATTCTTAGGTCCCTGGAATCCGAATGAGAATGCTGTCACTTTAAATATCCAAAATGTTCACCTCTTGTAAACATTTTGAATGCCTATGCCCTCGGTCACTTAAAATATCCAAAATGGCCACCACTTGTAAATAATCAAAATGGCTGTGTCCTCTGGCCAGCTAAAAGTCCACTACTCAGGTTGTCTCCCTCCTTGCTGTTTCCCTTCCTAGTTATAGGCCACCAATGCAGTTGTCCCTGCAGCCCTTGGGACCAAGGCTGGCCTTTAGGTCAATTTTCAGTTTTGGTCCCATCAGAGTAGCTGACAGTCTGCAGTTCCATCCGTCTCCATACTCAGTTTTCATTCAGGTTTCTCCACTAGTTTATACCTAATTGATTTCTGTACACTTCCTTTCAAAGCTCAGGGCTCCAGGATTATCTTGTGTATCTCTGTCAATTGATTTCTCTTTTCTTTGTTGAAGAGGATCTGTGTAGGTTGTCTGCCTATTCCACCATCTTACCAGAAGTGCTTTGGTAGTACCTCTTAAGGGAAAGGTCCCTTTCTAAAAATTTCTCTGTATTATCTGAAAATTCATTTGAGTTTATTTTTCAGAAGGGATCTCTATCAGCCATTTATATCTCATTGTAAATTAGTGAAATCAGCTTTAAAAAACCAAGGAAGAAGACATTTGGTTTGGGGAAAAGGAAGAAGAGAAAGAGTTTGACACAGGTTAGGTGAAGTGAAGGGGAGGGGGATAGCATCTAGGAAATTAAAAGAACCTACTTATAATTCAGTTGTAATAGTTAGCTAGCTCAGTGGTGTGATGTGTAGAAGTCTGGGTTATCTTTAGCTGGGCCTAGGCCTGTGTGCATTCAGTAAGTGAGTAAGCATGGCTCAGTAGGAAATAGGATAGGAAGAAGAAAAGTGAGTCCAGACTCATGTGACACAACACTGCCTAGACTTAACCCCAGTCTCACAGCCTAAATAAAACTCTCACTCCCTTTCAGTGATACCGCTTTAACTATGAATTGTGGAACTTTCACAGGCTTGGAGGAATAGTTTAGGGGGTTAATATTTTAAGAAGGTAGCATGGAATAGGGAAGAAAGCAAAGGACTTTCAATCAGAGGAATAAGGTTTTGATTTCAGCTTTACCTCAAATAAATCATTTAACTACCTGATATCAATTTCCTCTTTTATAAAGAGGGTAAAGTAACACCTGTATCACAGGACTATTCTCAGAATACAGTATGAATGGACATATATAAGCTTTATTTATTATAAATGTCTGTACCAAGTATAAGGTTTTATATAAATTTATTAATTGCATGTAGCATTTTTCAAACAGGATTTCTGTTAATGAAGTTTATACTTTGTCAGCGGCTCTCTTAACGAGTTGCTGTTTCCATGATTTACTGATGATAAAATTAAACAATGTAAAGAAAAATCAACTCATCTTAAAATCTCTAATCTCAGAGGAAAATGTACAAGTAAACCTGGCAGGTGGAAACAACAGGAATTGGATTCAACTAAGAATATGAATTCTGGGTACCTGAGAAGTACCCAGAAAATAAACAACAGAAATTGGCATAAACTTAATTACAGGTAATACTGGTAGTACATTTTAAAGGGAAAAAAAAAGATACTAATACACAAAAGAGGAGGGTAGCAAAGAGCTTAAAAAGACATGATACTCACGTATCTGTGTGGTCAAATGCTAGGTATTCCTCTATTATTCCTTCTGAGAAAATTACACAGTCTTCCTCTTCTCTTTCCATAGAACACAAGCTAGGAGATTTGGCAATGGAAGATGTTTTAGGAGGATAAAAAGATGAAAAATGTACCTTCTTTCCCCTTATACCAAATCTGGAAGAGGAAAAAAATGGGTATCAATTATGCACAACCTTAACAGTTCTCACAGCAACACAATCTCTCCAGTTTCAGCACAAACCCCTATTGCCCTGATGACACCTTCCTGCACTACTCAAAGCCTCAATAACCTATTATTTCTCAGAACAAGAGGACTAAATACTGGCCACAGACCTCCTCTGTCATGATGGCTGTCTTTCAGAAACATCAGCTAGAGCTATAAAATAAGTTTTTTAAAAATCAAAGAATATTTACATTCATAATTATATCTTTAAGGTATCTCAGAGGATATATGCTTATTTCCCTAATTCTACCATTGCTCAAAATGCATCCTCCTTATTGGCAGGGATCCTATCTTATTTATATATGCATTTCTTTCCATATCCAGGTATTCAATGAATATGTGATGACTCATTCATCTAAACTGATTTATTTTAGACAAAGTCAATAAAATTTTTAAGAATGGCTCTCAGTTTAACCAAATACTAAATATAACTAAGCTAAGCTTTGCATTTAGGAGCTCTGGTAGCATAGTGCCTAAAGCATCTGACTTCTAAGCAGAAGGCTGGGGGTTCAAACCCACAGCCACTCCTCAGAAGGAAGATGGGGCAATCTACTTCCATAGTAATGCTGCCTCGGAAACCCAAGAAAGGGTCGCTATGAGTCGGGTCCAACTCAACGGCACATAACAACAACAAGCTTTGCATTATTCTTTATACTTTTTGGTGTTTCATTATTATTATTATTAAGGAGGAAAAAAGAGTAAACCTATGGCACTTTTAACATGACTGGTAGGAAAACTTTACCAGAAGATACTTTGAAAATATGTATCAGAAGTTTTAAAATAAACATACCCTTCGATACAATGGTTTCATTTGTGGAGATTTCCTTTGAAGGTATGGGCTATATCTTTAGCTATTAGAATTATTATCACAAAATTGTTTAAAATTGCTAAAAATAAAAACTAGTCAAATTGTTTCAAAATAGGGGATTAGGAATTGGTTTCTTAAATAATGGTATATTCATTCAATCAAATTATGAGGTCATTAAATTACTGTTGTAAGAGAAAAAAGAAGATATCCACAATCATTAAAACCAAACCAGATCATTTCCAGTAAGATGGCAGAATATGCACACAAACTACACAGACCCTCTTCAACAAAGAAAAGGGAATCAATTAACACAGATACAGAAGATAATCCCGGAGCCCTAAGCTTTGAAAGGAAGGATACAGAAGTGGACTAAACTCCAACTAGTAGAAGAACCTGCATGAAAAAAACAAAAAAGGAGACACATGGAGCTGCAGTCTGTCAGTGATCTTAACGGCACAGAAAGCTTGGATATTGCCAAGTGGTGATGTTGTTATTGTTGTTATGTGCTGTCAAGTCGGACTCGACTCATAGTGACCCCTCCTTGAGCTTCCGAGGCATTATCACTACAGAAGTAGACTGCCCAACCTTCCTTCCGAGGAGTGGTTGGTGAGTTTGAACCATCAGCCTTCTGGTTAGCAGTCAACTGCCTTAGACACTACACTACCAGAGCTTCTGGCAAGTGGTGATGGGACCTAAGAATTAACCTAAAAATAGGCCCTTACTAGCAAGGGGCTGCATAGAGGACTACACTAGTGACTGGTGAATAAAAGGGGAAGCAGTGAAGAGGGAGATGGACTGGGCCATGGACTTCTGCCTGTCCGGAGGGTGCAGCCATTTTGAATGTTTACGAGCAGTTGGACCATTTTGGATATTTCAAGCAACAGTGTTCTCTCAGATTCCAGGGACCTAAGAAAAGGCTCCACTTGCCAGGAACAAGGACATTCTGGACATGAATGACTGGAAAGGTGTGATACTGCCCTTGTTACTTTTATACCCCACACCCTCTTGGTGAACAGAGGTGTGCCAATCCCTCACTCCTACCCACCTTCTGGGTCAGCAGGAACTCCACCCGAGTCTGTGTGCTTGGAGGGAGCATGGCTACTCTGCCCAACCTGCACAGACTTTTTTATTTTTTATTTTGTTTGTTTTTGTCTATTTTGAAATTCAATATTACTCCTTTTTTTTTCATCCTTTTTATTATTATTCTTTCTTCTTCTCTTCCCTAATTCTACTTTTCAGCTGTTTCTCTCTTCCCTGTTCCTGGTTCCCTTTTTATTTTTCTTGTGGTTCTCCCCATCCCTTGTATTTTGTATTTTTCTCATTTTTTTCCTTCATTATTCTACTACTCTACCTCTTTAGTCTTATTGCCTCCTCCTCAGATATGGTGAGGTATTTTTTTCCCTTTTTCTACACATATTTCTTTTGGCTTTTTAAAGTATTATTTAAAAATTTTTCTCTCTGACTTCTGGTAAGATGGAGGAACATGCAGACAAGTGACACAAACCCTCTTCAACAACAACAACAACAACAAAAAAAAAAAATTGACAGAGATACAGAAGATAATCCAGGATCCCTGAGCTTTGAAAGGAACTATGCAGAAGTGGATTAAGCACCAACTAGTGGAAAAACCTGAACAAAAACATGAGTACAGAGGTGGTTGGAGCTGCGGACTGCCAGCTACTCTGACAGGACCAAAAGCTTGAATATTTCCAAGTGGTGTTGGGACCTGAGAATTGACCTAAATATCAACCTTGGTCATAAAGGGCTGCAGGGACAGCTGCGTTGGTGGCCTATGACTAGGAAGGGAAACAGCAAGGAGGGAAACAACCTGAGCTGTTGACTTTCCGCTGTCCAGAGGGCACAGCCATTTTGATTGTTTACATGTGGCAACCATTTTGGATATTTAAAATGACTGAGGACGTAGCCATTTTGAATATTTCCAAGCAGTGGCCATTTTGGATATTTAGAGTGACTGAGGGCACAGCCATTTTGAATCGTTACAGATGGCAACCATTTTGGATTTTAAAGTGATAGCATTCTCATGCGAATTCCAGGGATCTAAGAATAGGCTGTTTGCCAAGGTCAGCTGACAACAGGAAAGGAGACAGGTGGTGAGTGTGTAAGTGCTGTCAAATAGTGAATAGAGGAGCACAGTACCCTGCTTACATAGATAACATCCAAACAAAACAAAACTCGTGGGAAAGTCACTCCAACATACAATTACCAATGAAATATAAACACAAAAACATCACAATGCCTCAGAGATATCAGAGCATCACAGTCCAACAAAGAAGCAAGATAAAGCAGGAGAAACAAGGGACCAGGATACAGACCCAAAACACATCCCTGAGGAAGACACAGCATTGGAACTCCCTGATATGGAAATTCAAAAGAATATTTAGGTATCTTCAATGAATTGAGAGACAGATCAAGGAAAACACAGAGAAAACCCTAGAACAATTTTGAAAGCCAATACAAGAAAAAAATGACAAAATAAATGAGAAATTAGAAATTATATAAAATCTACACACAGAAATCCAGAAGACTAATGCTAAATTTTCAGAAACAGGAAAGACAGTGAATGGGCAAAGGAGCAGAATTTAATCAATGGAAGACAGAATTAGGGAGATTGAAGGCAAATACCTGAACACTTCTTTGGAAAGGCATCAATCAGAAAAAAGATCAAAACAAAATGAAGAGAGCCTAAGGTTCATGTGGGATATCATCAAAAGGAATAACCTATGTGTAATTGGAATTCCAGAAGAGGAGGAGAAAAATAAAACCACAGAGAAAACTGTCAAAGATTTGTTGGAAGAGAATTTTCCTGTTATGATGAAAGATGATAATATATTCATTCAAGAAGTCCAACAAACCCCAAACAGGATAGACCCCAAAAGAAAATCACCCAGACATATCATCATCAAACTTACCAAAACCAAAGACAAAGAAAGAATCATGAGAGCAGCATGGGAAAGACGAAAAGTTACCTACAAGGGGCAACCAATAAGACTAAGCTCAGATTTCTCGAGAGAAACTATGCAGGTGAGAAGACAATGGGATGATATATATAAAAAACACTGAAAGAGAAAAATTTCCAACCAAAATTTCCAATTTCCAGTTTTGTACTCGGCAAAACTGTCCCTCAAATATGATGGTGAAATTAGGACATTTCCAGATAAGCAGAAATTAAGGGAATTTGTTAAAACAAGAACAATCTTACAAGAGATGTTAAAGGGTGCCCTTTGGACAGAGAAGCAACAACAGCCAACAACAACTGACCATTAACACACATGATGATATAACACAGAAACCAAGCCAGCTATGGAAGTATCCAAAGTAAAGAAGACTACAAGATAGTAAACAGGGAACCAGGGACATCAATTGACAAATGAGGACAATTACAAACCAAAAAGAAGGAAAAAACTGTGTTGTTACAGAACTTCGAGATGGTAGGGAAGTCAAGACAACTACAAGATTGAATGGACTGTTTTAAACTTGGGAAGAAAACTATAAATCACAGGGTAACCTCAAAGAAAAATTATACACCTTCACATCAAAAGAGGACCAGCATAAATATTCAGCAAATACTAAAACAATAGCAATGAAGGAAGTGATAACATGATTCATAAACAAAATGAGCTCAGCATAGAAAATTATATGGAACAAAGAAATTGACACCATGAAAAAGCACATAACAAAAATGGCAGCAACAAATTCATATTTGCTGTTAATTACATATCTGGCAAGGGACTTATCTCTAAGATTTGTAGCGGAAGAGTGGATGACCAAACTATGCTACATACACATAATGGAATGCTAGGCAGCACTAAAGAATAATGTACAGTCTGCAAAACACCGCATAACATGGATGAACTTGGAGGACATTATGCTGAGTGATATAAGTAAATCACAGCACAAATATACTATTAGTTTGTTGTTGTGGAGGGTCAAGGAAAGGTTTACATATGGAGGGAACCTTTCTTTGTTGGTTACCAGGGGTGGGAGGGGAGGGGATGGAACACTAAAAAAAAAAAAAAAAAATGCATTTAAAAAAACATTATATATATATATCTATCTTTCTTTTTCCCTCTCATTTATTACCTTTCCTTTTTTATTTTTCCTTTT